CCTATCTGTGTACTCCATCCATCCGATGTACAATGTTGTCGCATTTAGGATGGCCGGCTCAAACTCCTCAGAATCCACCAGACAACTTGAACCCTGTCGATCAGCCTCTGCCTTGACCTCTGCAATTTCCTGACAACAGACACAATCACCTTCATTGAAAGATGGAGGCACACGACATCTTCCACATGTACACCTTGAAATACAGAAAGATTCAAACAAAAATCAATACACCTACTATAATTTTATAAATATTTTATTACAGCTTCCTGATAAATATAAAAATGACATCGTTCTCGTAGTCGTAGTATGGTAAGAGTGCCCAAGGCAGTGCCTATGTCTGCGCACCCACGTAAATGCGCGATATTTATAGAACAAAACATCAAACTGACACCAATTTTCAATCTTAACCTCAACAATTCATTTAGATACCAAAATTTGTGAAAATAATTGGGAAGATTAAAAATGCGTTTTAGCAAGTTTCATTTGCCACCCTGAAAATTTCAATCATTGTCAAAAAAGAAAAGTCTGAACAGGGGGTTGTCCCTGGTATGAAACTTCACTGTGCTTGATTGAATTGCGTGCAAAATAGTGAGTGCGCAGATATGGGCACTTTTCAGTTTTGCTACACAAAATGACGAGCCCGTCTGAAATTCGTTAAAAAAAATTGTTCTTGTGAATAATTTGTCGAGTTTTTTTGTTTCAGTAATCATTAGAATATGAAGAACGGAATAACAATGATGATTCTAAAAATAATATCTTACTGTGTAATGAAATCGAGGTCGAATTTTAGGTGCGCAGACATAGATCTAGAGAATCATTTTAACAAGTTAACTTTAGAATTAGACATGCCATTTATGACCGAGTCTAGAGATCTACGGTATTTGATTTCAATTTGGGGGGGGGGGGAATAAATATTTAGAATGCACAACAAATTCAATAAGCTTATAAGTCTTAATTACCAATCCTCGACATTTTCATGAAGCCGATTTGCGTTGTTGGCCCTTCCAGCATCGCCAACATTTTGCCCAGGTTCACCACGAGGTAAAGGCTCATACTCCCACTCGACGATACGCCCGTGTTCTCCGGCGTCTGCATCACTTGCATCGCTGTCGGTATCACTGCTGCTGCCAGTACTGTCCGGACTGTCACTACTACCACTGACACTGTCATTTTCACCGCTTTCCCCGCAACTGCCATCCTCCTCACACTCAAATTCCATAACTAAATCATCTTGTGCATCTGCCCTGACGACTGGGGTAGCCATTCTCTTTAGAAAGACTTCTCAAAACTTCTCAAACTTCAATCGATAAAAAGCAGAAAGGATTCACGGTAGCCTACGCAAAATCAATGTAGATCTCGAACATCGCGCGGCGAAGAATTACAGCAAACAATTCAAGTCTACACGAAATGACGTCACCCAAGTCCGTGCGGCGCGGGGGCTCTTGACCGAGGCGAATTTGGGAGGGGGCGGCAGTTGTACTGTAATTTTCATTTTTCTCAGTAATGAAAGGGTATTTAATTTTTTCTTTCTTGTATTTGTATTTTGTGTTTCATTAGCCGTCTGTGGATGTATGGTTGTTTACGCTCCGGTCAAGGTCTTTAACATGTAAACAGTCAGTCCGCAACGCCCGCGATAATTGAAGAAGGGAAAGGAGTTAGGTCGTTTACATGTCAAGGGATGTCTTAAATTATCGTTACTCTAAATGAAAGAGTACAAATTTCCCTACAGATTAGTGCAATTTTTTTTGGAAAACATTTCATAGTGACATAGTCCTTATGAATAATTGTTGAAATACACGGGGTTGTCACCTCACAATTTCCTATACATTTGTCATAATGACCAATGGGGCCTATCTCATATTTTAGCTGTGAAAATGTAAGCTGTGCTTTTAAATGATAAATAATGTTTATTGTGGTATATTTTGATACAAAAATATATTGAATCGCGATATATGACTGATGGTGAAGCAACAACATCACCAACTCACTCATTTGAATATTCATGAGCACTGATCAAGAAATGTTTACTGAAATTTCAAAAATTTGTCCCAACTTCCTTATTTCATTTCATTTTTATAATTTTTTTTTTAATTTAAAATTCAAACTTACAAATATTGAATAAACTTAATAGAGTCTGAATCATAAACCTACACAAATTTGGAATTAACATTAATAACAGCTTTCAGTTCACAGGCCTATGAATATCATTTCGATTAAAAAAAAATTCTCTCCTTTTCCCCCTGATGGGATGTAACCCAAAGAAAGAATTGCACTCACCACCTCCCCCTCTCTCTCATTCACACTCTCTCTCCTCAATCTTTCCTTTCTCCCACTTATTCATTTGATATCTTTTGGAATCATCCAACCATCATTATTAAGTTGTTACAGTCACTACCATATCACTACTGTCATCAGTTCTCACAAACGCCAACTGTATTTCTTCAGTTCTCAGCACAATCATCATTCTCTAATAATACCACAGCTATTATTAATCCCACCCCTTCAATGCTCATCTTTACCACAAATCAAATAAATTCAATTTAAATTATATGAAGAGAAACGTATTAAATAACACTGAAATATTGATGTTCTTTTTTTTTTTTTAATCTCATAACAACACTTTGTATCAGAAGTCTCAGAAGTCTTCTCAGATCATTTTGTTTTTCAGTTGTACTTGAATTTAGAAAATTTATTTCACAAGGAGTCATAAAGTAATGTACATGACAATGTACATTACAAACATGTAAAACAAATACTAAGACATGAAATATATAAAGAAACTACAGGAATTTCATAATGCATATTTATCAAAGGATACATTTTTATATATTATATGGTGGTTCAAAATAATCACATGAAGTGTTTTAAAATTTCTATTGCATGGAAAGCATTAATAGTTTCTAGCGGGACTATCTACATCCAGCAAAAGAGAAAATGCATGCAACTTTATTAGAATATACAGATGATAGTTTATTCTAATTGCAGTCACAATAGCATAGAATATATTTTAAGTTTGAGTGTATTGATAATATAGAATAATTCTAAATACATGAAAATTAATTAAAGAAAAGATGAACCAATCAATAAAGAGTTCCTGTTTGTAAAAAAAAATATATATATACTGTCAATGCACATGAGAAATACTAGTTATGAGAACAGATTCCTCAAAGAAGTAAGCAAAAAAAATAATAAAATAGAGTTCAACCTCTTTAGAGTGATGTTGATGAATAAAGCACTAATAATATCATGTTATAAATGGAATCATGTTATAAATGGAATGATTCCTATGAACAAGCATAGAAATTGTTGATCTTCATAATAATAATACTAACAATGATAATAATAACAATAATAATAATAATAATAATAACAATAATAACAAGACAAATGCGACTGTGTCTCCTATATGCCTTCGCCTTTATAAAACCAGTAATTTCAGAAATTGACCTCTGTGACCTATGACTTTTCACCTCATTACATCAAAAATCTAGTCAGCTCAAGTTTAAAGTTCATATCTCAAGGGGTTCTTGAGATATCGTGATAACGAGGCCAATACCTGGAATAACATAATTTGACCCCTGTGACCCTTGACCTATGACCTACATACTCCAAAATCTAATCAGATCGTCTTCCTATGGTCATACATACTATCCTCATGTTAGAAGTTTATATCTTAAGTGGTTCTTGAGATATCGCGTTGCGGAGGCATAACAATAATAATAATAATAATAATAATAATAACTAGACATATAATACTTGTTTGGAACAAGTATAGGTGGGCTGGTCAACTTAAATTTGAGACAAAATAGAGCAAAAATAAGCGAGATACTGCTTAAAAATTCTTAAAAAACAATATCATGTAGTTTCATGACGTGAACGAAATTCACCTTCTATAGGGATAAGGCAAATTATGAAGGCCTTTTGACATGAGGCCTTTAATCGAGATTTTCACTAGTATGACGTCATCAAAATGAAAAATGGTTATTATTAAGCTTGTAGAGAATTGTCTTAGCTACAACATATCGAAATTTTGAAGAAAATTGATCAATATATACAGAGATACAATAAATTTTCCATAAATATGCTGACGTCATAATATGCAAATTTGTATTTTGAGTTCCAAGGCCATTGTGATGATGTCACGATACACTTAATGGCCAAATGAGACATGGAATCATATCTCCGACTCATACTCTATATAATTATGAAAACAAATTGAAGGTCACTGTGCATTCCCAAGAGCTATAATGGGTTTTGTATACCCGGTAGGCATGTTTTTGCCCATATATGCTATGTATTAAAAGAGCTCGCGCGCACAGAAATTTATATTGAATTGACGCTCATCTTGTTATTAATGGTCATAAAGAGATAAATAGGAATCAAATTGTTTGAGAAAATATGAGAAATATCAAAAAAAATGGCGATTCTATGTTGTGTAATGGTGTTACGCGCGAAAACGCGCGCGCATGTGTGTGCGCGCGATTTTTTATAAAATGCTTACAATGACCTAAAACGTATGCAAAATGAATTTGAGACGATTTTGAGCATTTTGAAATTTTGCGCGCGGACGTACGCGCATGCGCGCGTTTTTTTACCTGAAATTGACCGGACTGATATTGACCTTGATCATGATAAATATGAATGAAAAATAACCTTTGGTTATAAAGATATGATCAAGAGTTTATTTTCAGAAAAATTCACAAAATGGCGCCTAGATGACGTCATCAGTCAAGGTCAAGGTTCAAAACCTTACCTTGCTTTGTTCATATGCCTATACATATGTGTGCCAAATTTCAAGATATTTGGTTGAACCATTTCAAAGTTATCTTGTTCACAAAAAAGTGGTTCAAAATAAAAAAAAAAAAAAATAAATAAATAAATAATAATAAAGGCAATTTTAACAAAATTATAAGGTGGTCTGTATTAGATACAGCCCACCTGATAATAAAGAAATAAAGGCAATTTTAACAAAATTATAAGGTGGTCTGTATTAGATACAGCCCACCTAATAATAATAATGATAATAATATTTTTTTACAACAGTCCCCTTCTGTTAGAACATGATCTAAAACAAGCCAATGGGACTTGGGACTCTCCCTCCCTCCTTTCCCATTCACTCTGAGACAGTTTCATCCACAATACAAGCTCACAACAGCGATTTGCCTGGGTGAGGAGTAGCATGTAAATAACATGCGTTACCCAAGGCCTTAAGTTCTGCATCGCCATTCATGCGATAAAACCACTCGTATACAAAACTTCTAGCCATATAATAAGAGATTTGTAATTTTAAGAGATTTAAATATCTTCATGGAAACGGAAGTCTCATAATATGTTTAACTGTCCTCAACAGATAAATTCAATTATTATTTTTGAACTAAACACCGTCCAGCGTCAACACAATATTAACTATTGATTCTAGATGATATAAACTTCAAGTGTTTACAAAATTTCTGATTTCCTACTAGCCCATATAAAAAGTCATCAGAAATAGATGGACATCTCTACGACCATATCCAAAACTTAAATGAGATTGTGAAAATACATGGATGTCTTTGTAATTACAATCGGAAAGATCATTTTATAGGCTAGTTTGTGTCAGTGTATATAAATTTGTATTATTGTTATCATTACCTGTACAATCCACTCCTATAATAACCAGATGATAAGGACTTTCATATTGTCATATCAACATCTCATTATATATTTGCTCAAAATAACAGGAATACACTGTTTTGTATCCCTCATGTGCATCATTCACATTGAGATTGTACACGGCACGAAAAAGGCATAGTTTCACTAATGAAATTTGAGAGCGGGAGAAAAACTTTCTCCCCGATTTTGAGATCTCTGCAATGCGTAAAATTGCCAATTTGAAGAGAATCGACATACCAGTCACTGCATATTGCGAGTAGTACCACTTAGCATAATTATATACAATCTTGAAATTGATTTAAAATTGGCACATGAAATACTGGCTTCTTATGCTCTGCGTTTGACCTTACAAACAACCATTATTTTCCATTGAACATGTTGAAATACATGTTAATCGCACAGATCTTCGTGCAAGCCCCAGAGTTTGATAGTGTTAATAATACGTAGTACATTTATGATCACTGCTTCTTCCGTATCTTTTAAAAAAACATATAAAAAACCATACATCACGGCTTGTGCAGCAAAATCAATCTTTAATTAGTTTTGATGTTGACATTACAGTTCTTGCATGACTTATAATGTTGTTTTTTGACAGTTCTGACAGTTTTGATATTCAACTAACTATTGTATCATGAGGGATATAAAAATGAATACACAATTATTTCTTGGATCTAGCAAACTATGAGCATTCAGAGGGATAACTACAACTTTCCCTCGAGGCAAATTTTTATCAAATTTACTATACCCTCAGCAAGCCTGGGGTATAGAAAATTGTTAAAAATATTCCCTTGGGTTAGTTACAATTTATCCCTCTTCATTAACTCATAGTTTTAGCTAGATCCTCAAAATGCATTGTATATTTGTATATCATCATAATTCTCTAATTCATTTGGAACTATGAGTTTTTCCAAGACTTCGGTTATTGGCGACAGCATAACTTAAATTGTGTGGTGCTGGGGCTCTTTGCCTACGTGGCAGAGGGAGCACAGCAGAAGACTGCGATGGCTGGCTGTTGGAGTAGCCGTGCTCTGGAACGTTGGACGATTTCGATGGCCGACCAGCATGAAGCCTTGCTCCTCCCCTTCCCATGTGGCTTCTACGTCTAGCAGTTGCTGTTGGTTGCACACCAATGTGTTTACTCCCGCTCAGGCGAAAGCGCTTCATATCGGCCTTTTTTCCTTTTTTTGTTAAGGCCCTGGCTGCCCCAGCATACTTGCCAAATGAATGCATGGCAGATACAAGAGTGGTGTCCGTCTTCATCCGACTAAAGCTTTCAACCATTGCTGTGGTTGCTGGTATGAAAATGTCCGGAGACGTCTCCAACTTTAATTCTAGCTCCTGGCACATTGTTCTGAACTGGGCCAGAAGATCATCTGAAACAGAAATGGGAAACATTTAATATCAATGTTATAATCTTAGAAATTTTCTGACCGCAGAAGTGTACAATAAATTGCTCTAAAAATAAGTTTTATTTCAGATTAAAAGTGAAGTTAACCAAATAGAAAACAATAATGGAAGTATTGAGCAGCAGACAAATTTTTCATCAGACTCGCAAAACCTACTCATATGCATACATTTACTCCAAGGAATTGAGACATACATGTACATGTGATTAATTCACATCTTCATATCATTCAATTATCCAAATGATGAATGAATTTCCTTGGTTACATGCATGCTCCAAAAAAACGCTCCAGATTTTATTGTTTGAAACAAAGGTGAACGGAAATTCTTGTTGCACCTTTTTTCGTGGGGCCGGTGTAGCGGCAGCTTTGGTTTCCGGCGGATTCGGTGACTAGAACAGAATCCGCCGGCGGATCGTGTTCCAACACCGAATCCGCCGGTACTGATTTTCCATCGGCAGATATCTTTCTTGCTCTCGTTTCTCACGCTCATGTGCATGAACGCTGGCGCGGCCTGGCCCTGGTACCCGCCGCGGTATACGGTACCTACCTCGAAAAAAATGAACTCATTCGAAGAGCTACTTTTCCTTGAGAGCTACCTTTAAAAAAAACCTAGGTACCGAATCTGCCACAGAACCTAATCTGCCGCTACACCGGCAGCTGCTGAGCAGTGCCAGATGGACGTTGCTCTATCCCCTTGTTGAACACCAAGCAGGGTAGCAGCAACTCCCATTTTTTAACGTCTTTTGGTATGACGCGGCCGGGGATCGCACCCACAACCTCCCGATTATGAGGCAGACGCTCTATACACTGAGCCAACACATGCAGGAGTTCAGAAAGGATCATACTTTAAAATGTTCAATTAGCAACAATGAAAATACAGTTCATAAATGACATGTTATTAGAGCATGCAAAACAGTCTGGCAAACATGCGACTAAAGCCAGCAATACGATGATTGAACCACAGTGAAAACTCAATATAAAGAGTTCTGAATTATCAAAACACTGGAGCTTTTTTTCCAGTCCACAGGAAATAAATTTTATTAATAATAATTAGTACATACAAAACAGTCTGGCAAACATGCGACTAAAGCCAGCAAAACGATGATGGGACTATTTCAAGCAAATAAGGACCATTGGTGCGGGCAGATGCTTGTGATGATCTTGTTGAGCCTCGTAAATCAAAGTGGTTCTGAGCAGCTGCCTGTGCACGGAGACTTGCAACCGCAGGATTGGGATCAGTTTGGGTTGTGGGAATAGGTTCCACCTCATCTATCACTGGTTCTTCCATTGAAATGTCATCTCCAGATACTGAGGGCTGGGTCATTAATCCATCAAAGAATCCTGATGGAACACTACAATTTCCTTTTTGGAAAATTATAGGAGAGGGACACGGGACCATAAAAAAGTACCATATCAAAGAAAGGATTAAAATCAAGTATCTCATAATTGCATGGTGGCTAATATTTTGTAATAAAATGAACTTTAAATGGCCAGGCTGTGTACCAGTACTCATATAAAAAACATGATTTAATGGTAGGTCTATCCAATACAATAATTTGAGCTTCATAACAATGTTTTTTAATGAAATATTAATAAATATAATAAATAGGCATCTAATTTGCATAAATTATAATAAAGTAAAAATTGGTGATTTTTTTTCAAAAAAAACATAGCAGTGGTACCCTTTACATGTGCATCGACGTTCGGCAGAATTTCGCGTCGATTGGACCTTCCGCGGCCGAGATATTAGGGGGGGGGGGTCAAATTGACCCCCCCCCCCCCAGTCAAAATCTCCTCTCAAAAAGCCCAGTCAGAATAGGGTTAAAGTCATGTCATTTACCTGTTGCGATCTTGTAGAGAAGCAGTCTCGTCTGCGGGTCATCAACCGGGACGAAATTTGTTGATGAAACATTGAAATGTTTTATGACTGCTGCCTGATGTTTGCAGGGGCCCCCTGTTTTGCCAGCAGGACAAGAGCAATGCCCTATTTCCATATCGACATCATATTCAGTGTCCTTGGTGGTCTGGCTGGTCACTGTGAACTGGGTGGCTGACAGCTATAATCAAAACATATTTGTGTCAATCGTAAAACAATTTTCAGACCTACTAATACTACAGCTGACATTGACTTAAAAAAAAATTAAATATTTTTTTCTCCATTGATACATACATGTACCAGCTTTTGACTCGCAATGCTTGATTTCTCAAAGAATGATTAAGCATTTAAATATTCATCTGACTTGTCAAATGTAGATACTTTGTCATTCTTTTCTAATTATTATTTCTCTTTTCCACTGATCTGGATTTCTCTCTGCTTTGTGAACTGATATAGAATATCCAGGATCTGAAGGGTGCAGAGTGTTTGATGTAGAATTAAGGCAGAGCTCTATACATATTAATTTCGGTAGCATGCTTTGCTTTACTATACTTCATTTTATTGTATTTGGTTCCTATAATTGTAGGGAATTCCTGCTTTTATTATGGAGGTCTCACACTATCATTACCTGTTTGATGTCCTGATGCCTAACAGATTTGTCTTGGGGCATATATCTGGAGGTGACAACATTCTGCAGTCTTCCATTTGCGACGTCGATAAGCCTCTGCTGATAGTAGTCTTGGAGGAAGGTAGACATATAATCTGCCAGCTGAGGGATGGAGAAAGCTTTGGTGCGTTCCAGGATTTTGTCCTTGAGGACACGCATAGCCGCCTCGCAGAAGTTATTTGTGTTGTTTCCACGTACCTCGAGATCTTGGCGACAAGCAATTGCCCACTTTTCTTTACGTCCGTAATAGCCCGTCAGATGCTTCTTGAATTTCCTGTTAAAAGTTAAAGCACAAAAAAGTGGAAATTATTATCAAAAAGTAATCATAATTTGAATAAATATGGTCATGATTATGACCTATGACCTTAACAGGTAAAAAATAAATTAAATAATTGGCGAGATATGTATATTTTGCTATGAATGTTAATAAGATTCATATACCGGTATTTTCTGATTTGTGGGATTAAATATATCATCTGTAGTGCTTGACAAGCTTTAACATGTAAGATATATACACCTCATATCTTTAATATGGAAAGTGGTTGTGTGTGTAGTTCTCAGGTCATAATCATATGCCTTTATATAAAGAGTGTACATAGTCTGTCCTCTTCTTTACTCAAGTGCCTTTTATCCTGATAAAAAAGACCTGAAAATATCCAGTGATATCAATGTACCGGTAGTCAACTTACTCAGAGAGAATTGGGTCTTGCAGGCTCTGCTGGTACAGCTGATCCAGCTCCTCTGTAGTCCTGGCGTAGATCAGGCGCTTCAGGTGTTGAAGGTGGTTGGATCGTTGTGCTTGGGGGATTTGATTTTTGCCATTCCATAACCACCTCCATGCAGCTTGCAAGACATGGAACACGCAGAGCAAGCAGTTGCTGGCAGGGAAGACTCTTCGGATTGCATTTTGCTCTGCAGCACAGTCATCTGTCATGAAGAGCTTCGGGCCACGCACTCCTCTTCCTCCAAAGCAGGCCTGTGGTAGCACAGATTGGTAGAGCTTGAGGGCTGCCTCTATTGTGCCCTCCGACTCGCTGGTGGTAATAAGTACTCCAAGGGGAAGTCCACCTACACACGTATGGGTTAGAAGGAGGAAAACACTGCACCCGTGCCGGTCCATGTTTGAAGAGGCATCCATGAAAACAAGCTCTGAGGCATGTTTGATTTCTTCATGAACCCTCTTCATTAGCGGAGTGCAGATGGCCATCACCACTTTCCCATCAGTTGTCACATCCAACGCCATGCAGTTGGAGCCTGCTTCAACATTATATTGCTCAATGAATGTTTTCAGGCTCTCCAGCATTCCTTCTCCACTTGACTCGCCGAACTCGGCCCGAAATACCTTGCGGTACAATCTGAAAAGAACAAATTTGTTATTTTAGTTTTAGTAAGACGATGCAATATTATTATAATTTGTTCATTTGTTTGTTTGTTTTTTGCACTGATTGGAAATTTGACGCAAAACCTCCCAATATAGGTTCTGCCTGTCTGACAATGAGATTTTATCTATTCGACATCAGTCAAAAGTAAACCTTATGTCGATTACAAGCTCCTTCATTTAGCTATTAGCTGTCAAGCTCTTGCTCTTTATCAATTAATCAAATTTTGTTAGCTTTAATTTTAGAGAATGCACAAAAAGAAAGACAAATTTGTAACCATTTTACCAAAATCCACCAATGAATGAGAACGATAATGTGTTCATTGAATACATGGACACATATTGCCATGAGGTGTGGTGTCGTGCACTGAAACAACTTTCACATAATTTGAGGTGTGTACAACATATATCTAAAAATCTGATCATTATTCTTTCCTCATTGTTATGGCAGATCAGACTTTTCTTAAAGGTAGTTCTCACTCGGTTATATTGAACTACTCCCCCCCCCTTCCAGTATGAAAAGGCTTAGATTACGATAATATAATTTAAGCGAGACTCTCCTCTATAATGCATGAATTATAAAAACTAGTCTTGTAAATATACCTTTTGAAATAACTGTTGAAAGTACATGGTACATTTCCATATAAATTGGCCTCTGAAATAGGGAAACTATTAAAGCTGGTGTATAGTTTTGGTAAATCTCAAAATATAATCGTTCAAACTTTGACTTTTCTTTGAGATAGAATGAAAGATAATACATAATATTACATGTAATATTTAAAAAAAGGCAGGGTCCTGATAAATTGGCTTTATTTTCATTTTTTAATTAAAAAATACTTCACAGACAGGAATGGGGAGGAAAAATTCAGGATAACAATCTTCGTAAATAGCTCTTTGACATAGATTAGCTAAATCTATGAAATGATAATTCCAAAGGCCCATTTTAGGAAAATAATATAAATGCCCATAGAGGGCGCTAGATCTGCTCTAACGGTCGAATTCAAATTTTCACAATGATTCAACGTGTAAAAATTGGTGTAACTGTCACTTTGTTTGTTTTATAGTTGGAGTGTATCAAAAGAAACCAATACAGTTGAAATTATTCTATCATACCAAAACTATACACCAGCTTTAAACATGTTTTGTAGAGAATAATACTCGCTTTGCTGTGAATATAACAAGTAGAGGGCAATTCCACGGTAACGGAAGGACACTCAGACAAGATTTTTGAACTTCAGGTTCATACTAAAAGAACTGTTTTATTAGTTTAAGATATGAAACAGTACAGATATAATACCTATATAAGTGCCTTTAATTCTCCCCCAAAAAATTGTCATTATAATTAAGTAGTTTAAGAATGTGCATATTAATTATCTCGGTAACGGAAGGACATAAAAATGGACATGGTTTTTCCAGTTAATTAGTGTTTATCCAAACTTTGTGAAGTTGATGAAGCTTTCCACTTGACTGAAACACATTTTGTTCCCCATAGTTTAATACATACTAATAAAACATTTCTTTTAGTGTGAACCTGAAGTTCAAAAATCTTGTCTGAGTGTCCTTCCGTTACCGTGGAATTGCCCTGGAGGGTAAATGTATTATCATTCAAGTGAGCCTATATCATAAGACTACACTGCTGAGAATGTTGCATTCTAGATTAGGAAACAGGATAGGTTGAATAGTTGAGAAATTGAGGTGGTGCTATACAAGACTCCTGGTTCACTTTGGCTTTAATTATACTGCAGATGTGCTCTTCTTTCCTTCACGAAAAATGTTTTTAAATAAACTGATTTGGTCTCTCCCGTTTTACTTCACGTAGGAAATACGAGCATCACATGAAGTAGTTAAAAGTTGAAAAACACTTACCGGTGGGCAAATTGTACATCAGGACAAACAGCCCTATCTGCTGCCTTCATGTGGTAGTTGGCTCCATGCCTCAACTGGAGATCATATTTGATCATCTCAACGGCCTGTGTCGGGCCATACTTCCTTTTAAAGAGGGAGATGAGCACTTCTTTTGTCTCTTCTGAGACATCGCGGAACTTCAAAGCATCCGCACAGGTTATCTGATGATTGTGACGGTAGTTCAGTAGCAGCTCAGCAGGGTACTGAGGAAGATGGGTATCCTTGCTCCTGTTAGAACAAATAAGATACTATCATTCATAAAGGCTAAGAAATACTAAATTAAATGTAAATTTAATCACAAGCTTTTAATTCGACTAGCTGTTGAAGTGTTCAATACCTTGAATTTAATAGATTTTATGAAATACTGTATTTTCACAAATTATGCAAGTCTTGAGAAATTTTAACAACGACAGAAATTGCAAGGCTATTGAAAACATAAAATTCAAGTAATAATGCTCACATAAATTTCCCCACCCAGTCTAAAATCATATCTGTACAAATTTTGGGGGCTTATTATACAGTACTTAGCCCTGAAAAAAAAAATACTGATGTGCATTTGCAATATTATTGTAATGATGTAACAGTTATACAGATTGTATAAAAAAAAATGGTACAACTGGGGAAAAAATAATTTAGGTATGAAATCTTCTCTTACAATGTGTGAATGTGGTACTACATTAAAGCCAAAAGATTTGTCTTGCTTAAAATACACTTTATTTTGTATAATTCGCTTTTGTAAAAAAGAGATAAATTTTGTGGGATGAATCGAAATCACACAAATCTATTGTTCCGGAGCGCTGAGTTCATGATTATCATGTGCGACACCTACTAAAAGCCATGGAAAATCATGAGCAAAATAAATTTTTCTTGATTGTAGAAAACTGATATCTCAAGATCAACAGCACCAAATGAGATGAAAAAATAGCAGAAAAAGCCTGATTTTATTTCTTTTTTTTTCTTGTTGAAAATATCAACCACTTTCAGATTGTGATTTGTGATTACTCTTCACACTGTAAAAAAATGTTTTCCACTTGTACCATTTTATTTGATTATACAGACTGTATACATGTATGTCACACAGCTCATTCAAGTGATATCTCATTGCATATCTTTCAGTGAGTACCAACACACTCTACCCACCCCCCCCCCCCCACCCCCCCCCCCTTACCAAATAACCATTCAAAAATACCTGCTAAGGGTGCGCCCTTCATACACTGCCTTCTTGATAGAGACAATCATGTCAGCCGAGCAGTTGGTGTTCTTAGATGCAACTCGCCGACCTGCATTAGTGGACCCCTTTCCTGGTCTTGTGTTGTGATGGCACCTGTACGCTTTCTATAAGAGAGAATGTGTCAGAAATTACATAAAGAAGTTTAGATGTCTCTCTCTATTTTTATTTGCTTCTTGCTTAAATGAAACATGACGATTTTCAAAGATGTAAAAGTTTTTGTTTTTAAAAAACAAATACACTGTATTTTATAAGCCTTAATATGCTTTTAAGAAGAGTCTGAACCACAATTCTTTCCTAATATCAAGTAGACGTACAAGGCAATCTCAGTCATGCCGTTTGATAGAGTAAAGGAGTGTTGATCTTCTAAGACTAATTATCAATTTTGTTTAAAATAACAAATTGCCTAGTTGTGCAATGCCACCCTGACTAATTAAATGTTAGAAATCTTCCAGTATTCCAGAAAGAAAGATTGTAAGATATGGGCTAGTATTGGCTATGAAAAAAAAAGTTATTAGAAGGGGACAAAATTATTTTGGCCTTATTTGGCTTGTAACACATTATATGCACTTTGTGGCATAACCAACTTTGTGATAGTCTTTATTCATACCTTGAAAACTACTTTCAATCCGGTTGAAGGAAATGTGCGCTTCACTCGCCAAGTGGTAGACGAAGACTCTTGAAAATTTTCCAACCACTTGTTGAAATCTTGGTGGGAACGCAGATTCAGCCGAATGATCGCTGAAAATGATACTTCATCATTCTGCGAGAAGTTATCTATGCGGCAGGCGTGGTAGGTGTAACCCTCGGGTAAAATACTCTGGTGAGGATAAAAAGAAATAATGATAATTAGACTGACAAAGTCACAAATAAGCAAAATAACAACAATTTCACACTTGAGAATCAACCTTGATTAAATAAGCTACAAAATTAAGTTTCAATATTGACAATATAATTTGAAATTAAAAGTCTAGATCTAGTGACATTGCACATGTCTTAATATAGATCTAGGCCTAATAATAAAGGCAGTGAATATGATGGAACTACATTAAAGGGGAAGTCCACCCGGGACGCGGGGACTTTACTTATTTTTAATCATAGCAGAACAATGAAAGAAATATATCAGTGAAGGTTTGAGGAAAATCCGACAAAGAATATAAAAGTTATGAATTTTTAAAGTTTTAATTTTGTGACGTCACATGCGAGCTTCTCCCCCATACGTTGTGTACTGTAAATTCCTTAAATTGCCATTTTCTCAGAATAATATGATTTATTTTGCCTGTGCATTTGATATATAATTATCAGACACATGCTTTTATAGACGCCTCGATGACAAAGATCCATTCCTTCATCAAGAACCAAGAAAAATGGTAATCTATGGTAATTACAGTACACAACATATGGGAGAGCAGGTGACGTCATTAAGTCAAAAATTCATAACTTCGTTATATGGATTTTTGTCAAATCTTCACTAATATGTTTCTCTCTGTCTTCTGCTTTCATTAAAACAAACTTAATTTCAGGGTGAACTTCCCCTTTAAGTCGCGCACTTTGTTTTCAAGGGCTAAAAAGTCAAATAATTAAAATTTGTATCCATGCTTCTTCCTTCTATTAAATTGTATATATTCAAAGGAACATTTACAGAGAAAACTGGGACATACATGTAAATATTTGGTGAATCTTCATGCTTGAGTCGATTACGCGACAGTGTCAAATTTCTTTGACAAAATCGAACGGTACATAAAGTCGCACACCACAGTTTTAATACAGTAATTGAATGTAACCTTTCAATTTCTTTCAAAAATAAGTGTATTCTTGATGATTTCATGTCATCGTAAAAATGCATGAAACTAGTGATTTTCCCCAATTTTTTTTGTAATATATTCGATGGGCTTGTTGATTTCTCGTCTAGCCAAAATATTGAGCGACTTGACGCGTCGCATCGCGCACATCGAGGGGTGTGCGACTTAATGTACTGCGCGACTTTAGGTACCTCGACCATACAACCACACTTGTGTGCCTTTATACATTCAGCCACATGCGTGTGGTTGTATCCAAATCTCCTCTGGCCAGATACAGCCACACTACTCCACCGTTAGGACTCAATATTCCGTCTACAAATCTTGGACTTGTATTTTTTCAAAGTTTCGCCTCAAATAGGGTTCTATAAACAAAAGAAAAATAGAGCAAATGTCCATTCCTGGAGTCGAACTGGACCCTCGATCATAGCCTTGACAGTGCAAGGCGCTATCCAATGCTCCACATCAATTCAGCTGCCAAAGGTGTCGACAATTACTCTAGATCTATATCCTCAAACTTACCCTAAAGGCCTAATCTTGACTTAAGCCTAATCTTAAGCCTAGGCGTTGTGGCGTGCGCCTGTAATCCAGCTAAAAAGTGGAAGTTACAAACTGATTCAGCCGAGGACGCAGGTTCGAAACTGAGTCACGTCTTTCGGATGGTGACGTTTAAAGGTCGGTCCTAGACGTAAATAATCATATCTGATTGATACACGTCTGTAAAAACCCAATACACACACACACACACCTAATCCTAACCTTAACCCTAATCCTAGTCCCAATTGGCTGTAAATCACATTTTAAACCCTGACTAAATAAACACTGATCTCAGGATCTCTAAAGCGTTGGCCCGTGTAACGGTGGAGTGTGGCTGTATTCGTCCAGAGCAGACAGGCTGCATGGTAAAGACACACGCGTGTGGTCGCCACTAATAAACTGTCCCATCCATCTGACTTTGACTTTGTTTGTCAATTTTTTGTGCCATTAAGGATGATTAACATTGCAATAGATCTAGTGAGTATAAAATGTTCTTGTTATTCTTCTAGCACCGGAATTGCTGCTTTAAAAATACTGAAGATAGCGACATCGATCTGCTTGTAGGCTAATGTATACAAATATCAATAAACAATCAAGACAATAACAATATATTAATCAACTGTTGTTGGGCAAGGGCATCCTATTGCATGATATTCATATTAATATTAGGACTAGACCTATAAACTTAGACTGAGTAGGCCTATTTACCTGAACGACGGCAGGGATTTCTTCATCTCCACAAAGTCTTGTCGATTTACCGGTACATCTTTGGACAATTCCAATGCCTTTCGGCGCTGGCTCATCCTCAAAATCTGAGTCCTCAGGCTCAAAATCAACATCCATCATCTAGCTCAGATCAGAAACGTCAACTCAGAATAGAAGGACTTGACAAGTAGGGGCCTATCTATATCTGCAAATAGATCTACTGTACTTTACGATGCGTAAGCTATATTAGCTAAGTTGTATGGTTTCGAATATGCGCGCTGCATTGCATTGCGATATGCTCTTCTTCTTCTTCTTGATTTGTTTTTGTTTGGCAATCAGTCACAGTTGACTATTTTTGCCACACACTATTTTATGAATTATTTATATATATACATAGATCTATATGTACAATTTCATGTCATAAATGACTATTTTTAGGATTCTTTCTCCTTCCATCCTCTTTCCTTCCTCTTTTTTTCTTTTTAGACTCTATAACTTTTTTTAGAGAGAAAATTCAATAAATTAATAATTTTGGAAAGAGACGACGGCCTAGCAAGTTTTGAATAAAAAAAAACGCCTATAAACTAAAACTAAACGTACGTACTTGTGTTTACGCGCACGTGCGCGTTCAAATATCACCTCACGTATGCACATGTGTACTTCGCACTTACCCCCACCCTTTTCAAAATGCCATCTTACCAGTCTTTGAGGTATATTTCGCAGACTTTCGGTTTTAACCTAGGTCACTCCGGCATAGGTGAGGGGGTGCCAGCTAGCATGTGATGTTGGAGGTGATCACCGAATTGTTAGAAAAGTAAATGGTCAAATTAGTTACAAGTATTGTGGGCTTTATTGGTGCAAGAAAAAGGAAAAGAGAAGATAAGAAGAAAAAAAAAAAAAAAAAAAAAAAAAAAAAAAAAAAAAAAAAACTCAACAACAATTTAATTGTTTGGATACAGCCGCTTTGTTCTTAAAACGAAGCGAACTATTGCTTTTTGTTTAACTATTTCTGAAAGTTTAAGTAGTGTCATGATTTCCTGTGGATGTGATAAATCAGTTTCTACGAGTAACATAGCTCTTTCTATTATGTACTTTGGGCATTCAGTGAGAAAGTGGTTTACAGTTTCAGTACGTCCTATGCAGTTATTGCAATGGCCTGTCGAGTGTATATTCAATCTGAAGAGATCTAAGTTCAAACCTATCACTCCTATTCTTAATCTATGGAGAATACTTTCTTCAAATCTGTTCAACTTACATTCATATGGTTGATTTACTGTAGGCAGTATATGTCTAAGAGATCTATCAGAATTATTCCATCTGTCTTGCCAGAGTTTTATATACTTGCTGGTAATAATACTCTTTATTTCAGAAAAGGATAATTTATTACAAATTTCAATGTTATTTTGTAAAGCAGATTTTGCATAAAAATCTGCCATTTCATTTCCGTGTACACCACAATGGCTAGGAATCCATTCTAAGTGTATGTGTTTTCCTTGATACGATAATTTTGTACTTAATGTAATAATTTCAGTTACAAATGTAATATCTTTTTCATCCTTTATGGCGAGCAGGGCGCTTACGGAATCACAAAAAATAACAATGCCAACATACACATTAATGTTCTCTAGCCAATTAAGCGCAAGGACAATTGCAGCCAATTCGGCTCTGAAAGATGAGGTGTGATCCGCCAATCGTTTGGCTTGTTGAAAGGAGAATGCTGGTACATAAAAAGAAGCAGAACTTATTCCAAAACTTGGAACCTTTGACCCATCGCTCCGTGCTTTGGTGGTCTTCATTCAAGTCGCATAATTCAACAAAACTGACGAATCTGACGCGTTAGTGGTACGGAAAAAAAAATCGCGAGCGGTCCCATACATAGCCTTTTCTGTACCGGTCCGGCATAAAAGCCATATCTGATCTGGTGTGGTGCCTTCGACTTACATGTAGATCTAGAGTCTACTCTCCCAGTATTAGCAAGCTTTCTTGGTATTATTATTAAGGCAAGGGTATTTTTCAATTAGTTAGACCTAGATCTATGCTAAATCCATTTTATTTTGACACGACTTTAACAGGCAACTGTGAGAGTTAAACCCTGACTCTGGAGTCTGGTCAGCTCAGACTTGTCTTGAGTCAAATTGAACATGGTCAAACTCAAACTTTTTTTAATTTTATTTTTTAGGCCTAGACTACTATCTATATTTTTTATTGCTTCTAAACTCTTATAAGTTCTAGTCTATACTGTAGTATGTGTAGAGTGTAGGTAGTCTAGTATACCGGTAGACTTACAGGCCTAGTCTAGTAGATCTAGGCGCCTGTTCAGAAACCTATCAAAAATTTGACCTGTAACTCCAGCGTGGAGATACCCTACTAAAACATACCCAAAATGAAGTAAATATTCATTAAATGTCCAAATAAAGATCATGTGTTTAAAGTTGTTATGTTTATTACATGTTTTGTGTTAATGTTATTGTTAGTTTTGGAGTATTTTTCGAATAAAAGTTGATATTTATACACTTGTCCACAGGATTCACAGCAAACTGCTGCACAATACAAGTACATACATACCAATGGTGGGTTGTGGGCGGGCTCACGCCTGTGTGAAGTTATCTACCGTAACTTTTAACTTATGTAGGGTATATAATATCACGCCGGAGTTATGGGTCAAATTTTGGATAGGTTTCTGAACAAGCGCCGTCTATTATTGCATTGCCTTCCTTTTGCCCCATGAAACTTCATCTTTTGTTTTGTCAAAAAAATTTAAAGGGGTGAAATATCAATAAATAAATAAATAAATAAATATTAATTGTTATGTTTTTGCTCACTTGTTTGAATTCACTACAGTATTATCTCCTATTTTTGTCCATCTCTATTTATTTCCAGGGAGTCCTCTATCACTGCAAAAGTATTTGGTGACTCAATATTGCGAGGTCTGGAACAGCATTTACATTTTCAAAGTCAACCTATCTCGTGGAGCGTATTTTGTTTACCGGGAGCCAGAATAAACTCACTTCGTGAATTCATCATTAACAAGTATACCTACCCTGTCATTGATGAGGAAACAGACATTGTATTTGTTCATGTTGGAACGAACGATCTCAACAGTACTACTTGGGACATTGCTTTTAAATCATTTAATAATTTGTATGTTTCTGTGCGGGAACGTTTCCGCTGTGCCCGAATAGTGTTTAATGCTATTCTTCCTCGTTGGGACGACGAACTTCTTTATACCCAATCTTTATATTATAATCATAAATTGGCACAGCTTTGTTCTCAGCTACACAACTGTTTCTTTTTGGACTGTTCTCCTCTATTTTCATTGGACATTCGCTGTTTTTCGTTGGATGGACTTCATCTGAATTTCATTGGAAAGGAAGAACTCGGAAATCTTATCACATGCTTTGTTGATAAGAAATTCTCACCGATTACAACCTCCACATATAGAATTCCTCAAGAACTCAAACGTTTAGCACCTCCAAAGAAAAAAAGTAAGGAATGGGTAGAGACTGATCTAGATGAAGTTATTTATCAGAGGAAACAAAGAGCTGCTCGTTTTAAAAAATATAGACCTTCACCTAAAACGCATACAGTTGTAAAGAAGCCACCACAAAAGAGGAAACCCCCAAAAAAGAAGTCATCATGCTTGGAACCTCCACCTTATAGACAATATATCCCCATTTGTAGCCAATATGTAGTTATCCCGTATGTCTCCGTTGCTGCTCAAGCAAAACTCAAGTCGGCTATTACTTCAACGTTCGTAGACGCTGTACCCATACCAGTTCCAAGGTCTCGGTATGTGGAGCGAAAGGAGAAGGGGAGGATACGGAAGCGGAGAAGAAGGAAACTGCAGCGTTTGAAAAGAAGAAAGAAGGTATTGTGTGAAAATAATCTCTTTCCTACAGTTCCCATTGATTCATAACTCTAAATCTTTTTTTTTCAGGTTAGTTTTATTAATTTCAAAATTAACTTTTGTAGTAACATGTATAATGAATCAAATTTGGTTAACATCTAGTATTTATTATATTTTAAATGCTGTCAATGGCGTGAAGTATATATTTTACAGAAAATAAAATGAAATAAAAATTAATAAAAGCTTAGTAGAGCTTTTTTTTAATAAATTTAAATTGTTTCTGATCTATTTGATGAAATGTCATTGCCATATAGAGTAAGAGTTGTGTAATCATTTTATGAAAAAATAACACGTGGCCTTCATGAAATGATTTTCACAATTCATGAATCATGTATTTGCTTTTTGTTTAGCTACGACATGGCCCACTCCAGCAGCTGTCTGACCTCCCACAGCAACAAGACGAGCATCCACATCCCCAGCCTGCCCCATCCCCATCAGAAGCGGATCGTCCCTCTCCCGATCCTCCGGACTCGTTACCTACCTTAGGAGATAATCCCCCTCCAGAACCTCCAGGACCTCGGGTTAGTTTTATTACCGTTAATTTCCAAATTAACTTATGTAGCAACATGTATAATGAGTCAAATTTGGTTAACATCTAGTATTTATTATATGTTAAATGTGGTCAATGGAGTGTAGTATATGTTTCACAGAAAATAAAATTATTCAATCAAAGCTTAATAGAGCTTTTGATTTTTTTTTTCTATTTGATTGAATGTCATAGCCATATAGAGTAAGAGCTGTGTAATCATTTTATGAAAAAATGAAATGTGGCCTTCATGAAAATAATTTTCACAACTCTTAAATCATTATGTGTTTGCTTTTTGTTTAGCTACGACATGGCCCACTTCAGCAGCTGACTGACCTCCCACAGCAACAAGATGACCAACCCCAGCCTGCCCCATACCCGACATTAACGGATCATCCTTCTCAAAAGTCTCCAGACCCGTTACCAACCGTAGAAGATGGCCCCTCTCCAGAGCCTCCGGACCGGCTACCAATGGCGGAAGATCGTCCCCCTCCATAGCCTCCTGACCCGCTACTGACTGTAGAAGATCGTCCTCCAAAACCTGTGGACCTGCTACCAACCGTAGAAGATGGCCCCTCTCCAGAGCCTCCGGACCGGCTACCACTGGCGGAAGATCGTCCCCCTCCAGAGCCTCCTGACCCGCTACTGACTGTAGAAGATCGTCCTCCAAAACCTGTGGACCTGCTACCAACCGTAGAAGATGGCCCCTCTCCAGAGCCTCCGGACCGGCTACCAATGGCGGAAGATCGTCCCCCTCCAGAGCCTCCTGACCCGCTACTGACTGTAGAAG